CTGCACGTCTGGTCGTTTCTGCGCCGCTGACGGAGCCCCAGTCGATTCCGCACGTGCCGTAGGACGTCTTTCTGCGTAATGTAAAGTGAATGCGTTTGTCCGAGCCTATCTCGCAAGCCCCAAGAGAAAAACCTCGCTGCAAAAACTGAGCCCTTCAAAAAACCCGCAATCCTACTCAAATAGTATTTAGACTAGGGGATACTGGCTTGCTTCGCGGCGCAAAAGGTTATGAAATGATGAGGCAAAAAATTTGGGATCGAATGGTGTTTGTCCCGTGTCGATCGGCTTTCTAGAAGCTGAGATAATCGCAAAAAACCTGTTCGACTTGCAAAAGAACTTGGTACTTGCTTGGTGTCTGGAACATTCAAAAAGTACTTGGTACTGGCTTGGTACTTCCTAAGGTACTTGGTACCGGGTTCGCCGGGTAGGAAAACTTGCCACTCTACTCCTCCCCCAGTTCCCAGTTCCCCCCCCCCCGAATTTGGTATCGATCGGTGTTGGTCCGGTGTGAATCGGTCGTGAATAGGCCTTGTTTGTCATTTCTTCCTGGGATTAAAAACGTCTCTGGCATGGCCGGCACTCGGTGATGACGTCACGGTCACTTCTGTCTTCATCGTCCTTGTTTGTCATTTCTGGTCTGGATTAAAAAAACTCAGCTTTGTGTCATTTCTTGCTGGGATAAAAAAATGTGACAGACACTCGCAGTCAGATGAGCACCAACACAGGCGCTGCCATCTACCGGGCGCCGTCTCCGCGCTGTGATCGGCTATATTTCTTTCGGGACGCGTAAATGGCGAAAGTTTATTGGTCTCACCGGGGCTATTGAAGACGCTCTTTGTCACGGTATCATTCGTTTTTATAAACGTGCTTTGTGTGCGCCGTATCGAAGGATAATATCGGTAGGCCGAAGGTAGAGCTTCAAATCCTACCGATAGATGGCGCAAACTACAGTTGGTAAAATCGGGACCTGTTTTTCACGAATGGCTGGTGCATGTTTGGAGCTAAGGCAAAAGCGTGCATAGCGTAGAGTGGCCAATTATGTCACGATGATATCTAGACCAATTACAGTGTCGTACTTTGGTCGTGCTCACTACAGGGCGCCGCAGAGCGTCGAACGGAGAGAGGAACTCCTCACCCGGTTAAAATATAGTCCGAGATTCTCGTTCCGAAACCATCGAATCCACGGCAAATAGTTGTGGAACTAGTGGATCCTGGCTTGCTTCGCGGCGCAAAAGGACATAAAATTTGGGATCGAATGGTGTGGAATTGAGAAATTGTTGGCAAAATTGGCCAGTTCGAGTGATGTTAATTTCGAGTAATAGTGACATCTAGAAGTCTAGATATGTGCTAAATGGTGTTTTAGTGGTTAATTTGCGGTCAAAAAGGTCATTTGAGGTCACAGGGGTCAAATAAGGTCACTTTGGGTCAGGTCAGGTCACGATAGGTCACCCCAGGTCACGATAGGTCAGTTCAGGTCACGAAAGGTCACCCCAGGTCACGAAAGGTCAGGTCAGGTCACGATAGGTCACCCCAGGTCACGAAAGGTCAGGTCAGGTCACGATAGGTCATGCCAGGTCACAGGGGTTGCTTAGGTCACAACAGGTCACCCCAGGTCACGATGGGTCAGGTCAGGTCTCCGGTTAACTCGGATCATGCAAGGTCACAGGGGTCGCTTAGGTCACAATAGGTCACCACAGGTCACGGGTCACGATGGGTCAGGCCAGGTCACAGGTCACCTTAGGTCATGATAGGTAAATGCAGGTCAAACTGGTCACATTAGGTTAGGGCAGGTCAATTAGGTCACGATGGGCCAGGTCAGGTCACTGGGTTGACCTCAGGTCACGGTGGGTCAGGCCATGGCACAGAGGTCACCTAGGGTCACGATAGGTCAAGTCCAGATCAAGCTGGTCACGTGAGGCACGGTCAGGCCATTGGCGTCGTATGAGGTCACGATGGGTCAGGGTAGGTCACAAAGGTTACATGAGTTGAGCATTGAATCTGGAATCCAACATCAATCCTGCCGCTTTGCCAGCTATTTGAAATCAATTCAGAAAGCTTGAAAGTATTCCACTCACCTGTGCTCTGCCAGAGAGTAATACAAAGCCTACACCACAGACCTGCTTCGTTTCGCTGCAACCCGTTAACTGTAACCCATTCGCTTAAATCCGTTAGCTGTAACCCCTTCACTCTTTGCCTTTGTCGGCCTTGAAAGTATTGAAAGTTATTGCTTGAAAGTATTGAAAGCTTGAAAGTATTCCATAAAATGTGCATCAACACATGCTACATTACAACTCTTGAACACACAAATACTTAAACACATCAATCCTGCCGCTGTCTTGCCTCGTGTTCTGCCAGCTATTTGAAATCAATTCAGAAAGCTTGATAGAATTCCACTCACCTGTGTTCTGCCAGAGAGTATTACAAACCTACACCACAGACTGCAGTGCCCTGTCTGTTTCGCTGCAACCCGTTAACTGTAACCCATTCGCTTAAATCCGTTAGCTGTAACCCCTTCACTCTTTACCTTTGTCGGCCTTGGAAGTATTCAAAGTTATTGCTTGAAAGTATTGACAGCTCGAAAGTATTCCATAAAATGTGCATCAACATATACTACATTACAACTTTTGAACACACAAATATTCACACTGCCCTAACCACATCAAATCTGACGCTTTGTGAAAAACCCGAGCTCACCAGTGTTCTGCCAGCCATTTCAATTTGAAATCAATTCAGAAAGCTTGATGTATTCCAGAAAAGGTGCATTCAACATTGATCAGCAATAAATCTGGATATCATTTGTCCCATTCGAAGACAATGTTACTAAATGAACTTGAAAAAATAAGGCCAAATTGCTTTCATTGTATTGTAAAAACACCTGGCTTATCATTGCCTATCAAATTGTATATACATTCTATATAATGGATGACGTCACCGGAGGAAGAAAATCCAGCACCTGATTGGCTGCCGGCGGCTGCTTAACGTTGCGTGACGTCACCGGTGGGCACCGGACGTTGCCTTTTTGCAAGATACTTTTTCGCCTGGTTACCAACGCTCAATGCCGCCAGTTAAATTAGGAAATGAATTGCTTTCCGGTGTAGAAAGCGCCCAATCGGTCACTTTAAACTTGATTACATAATTAACAGATAATTATAAACCACCCTTTAGCTCCTAATCGCACAAAAATATTCAAATCCCTCTCTCATCCTCTCAGCGCGTCGCTCGCCATGGCCGCCGCGGCCGCCGGCAGAACGGCGCTGTCTTACCAACGAATTTCTGTCAATTTCAACGAACTGATTTTCACGAAAACTATCCCACAGCATTCACAACACTCACTTTTACGTCGTGGATTACTTTTCTGGACACTTGCACTTGATTTTCTATTTATTTGCGAATTTTCAAAACCGCGTATCTTCCGCTGCATTCGCCGGCCGAGAGCAACTGAGAGAATGGTGGCCGGCCGTGCACTGCCTCCATCACATCGAAATGATTACTTTACTGCACAAATCGGCCTGGCCCAGTAATTTAAACTTGATAATTTAATTAGAGGAATGTTTTAAACTATACTCAACGTCTCTTTAATCGTGGAAAGTAATTATTTCGCTATTATCTATCGAACGACCCGCCGCAATGGCTGACGCCGCCGGCCGCCGCTTCGGCTGGCTTCGGCAGCGGCCGGATCCGAGGGATCTGATTGGTCGAGCGCTCACTTGGTAGAGAGCTCTGATTGGTCGAGCGCCACTTGGTAGGCATTTTCTAAATAAAAAAGCATGATGTTTTTCAATAAATTTTCTTTACAGAATCAATTGAATGTACTACTCGATGAGAATAAAAAAGTTTTGTACGACAAAATATTTGTATTTCGTGTCGTTTATTTACGCTAGCTAGTATATACCAACGTTGGAATATTCGTTATCCTAGGGGAGGGGAGATGGAATCGAAATTTATTTTGTCTTTCTGAGCGTCGCAAACTATTTTAAATAATCGTAGTTGATTTTCCAAACACATGTGACACGGTCATTTGGCTTTATTTCAGCCACACTCGTTTCCACTCACCTGGTGTCTGGTAGGACTTGGTAGGATGGTGTATAGCCGAATCTCCGGGATCGGAAGAGGCGTGGCAGATAACTGCTCGAGAATTCAGCCGCTTAGGACGTCTTTCTGCGTAATGTTAAGTGAATGCGTCTGTCACGTCCTATCTCGCAGGCCCCAAGAGAAAAACCTCGCTTAAAAAACTGACCGCTTCAAAAAACCCGCAATCCTACTCAAATAGTAAGTAAACTAGTGGATCCTGGCTTGCTTCGCGGCGCAAAAGGTTATGAAATGATGAGGCAGAAAATTTGGGATCGAATGGTGTTTGTCCCGTGTCGATCGGCTTTCTAGAAGCTGAGATAATCGCAAAAAACCTGTTCGACTTGCAAAAGAACTTGGTACTTGCTTGGTGTCTGGAACATTCAAAAAGTACTTGGTACTGGCTTGGTACTTCCAAAGGTACTTGGTACTTATTGGTACCGGGTTCGCCGGGTAGGAAAACTTGCCACTCTACTCCCCCCCCCAGTTCCCAGTTCCCCCCCGAATTTGGTATCGATCGGTGTTGGTCCGGTGTGAATCGGTCGTGAATAGGCCTTGTTTGTCATTTCTTCCTGGGATTAAAAACGTCTCTGGCATGGCCGGCACTCGGTGATGACGTCACGGTCACTCCTGTCTTCATCGTCATTGTTTGTCATTTCTGGTCTGGATTAAAAAACTCAGCTTTGTGTCATTTCTTGCTGCAATAAAAAAATGTGACAGACACTCTCAGTCCAACATGTCCTCTCACCACTATCTTCGGTATTCGAAGAAGACAGAAATCTGTCTTTCATCACATAGTGACGATTTTGTTTCGATGAATCGTCAAATAGCGAAGAAGTATTGAGGGTTCGTATAGATCTTTGGTTCGTCATATGTCGATGATTTTGGGAGAAGGGAGGCTATTGGTCCGTTTGTATTCATGAATAGAGCTGAAATGTTTGAAGGCAACATAATTTGGCGCAAGGCATTTGGCGCCAATTTGTTGCTAAGGGTTTTCATAAGCGAATAGTAGATCATCTTGATCCGTCATTTGTTTGGTAGTGGAGCTAGCGACTGGTGAATGAAATGGGTAAGTGTAATAAATTAAGTGCTTATTTGTGATATGTAAGTAACATGCTCATGGAGATACTTGAGCAGGGGAGGGTGGTATCATTGGTGGAATGAACCTGTGGACAAATTTTCCAAATTTTCCCCTCGTAATGTTTTTCAAAATAAAAAATATGTGAATTTCATAAGAAAATGGTAACTTTTACTTATCTTTTGCTAAAATGTGTAGCGTAGTACTTTGGCAGTAAACAGATTCTGATGCTATTGGGCCATTTTTTGTCTTGGGGGGTGTTCATTGCTTACACTAGCAATTTCATCTATTTCCGTAAAACTAATGATTTATTTTTTAGAATGGCAATGCGGGGTAATTTTGCAGGGGCTAATGCCCAAGGAGCTGCGGTGCAAGCTCCTAGGTGAAGGGAGCAGTCGGCAGCCTGCATGGGGTATGACAAAAGATGAGCTATTTGTGTTTATGGTGCCATGTTGTGTCCGTCATTTCATATTCTTCTGCTGATTACACCGATACGGGGACACCCACAACAGACACACGTATTGTATACTCACTCTGCTCAATTCACCGGAACGATATCACTGGCTTTACGCACTGCCATACCTACTTCTCAGTCTGGGCATCTCTTTGGAGGGGTTCCTTTGTCCTTTCCTACACTAGCCTGTCGCCTTTTCTTGCCCACGACTGACTCTTTAGTAGCGATGAGGAACCCAACCAGGTGAGACAAAGCTGCCTGTCCAGCTTGAATTGAGGGTAATGGCATGGAGAAATATTTAATTGTCCTGAAGATCGATGTATAATATTTTATTGTCCTGAAGATTTTAATTTGCCCTATTACAGATCGCCTTCTTTAGTAATCACTCAAGTGTGTCGATCGCTACCCTAGACGTCGCTGTAAAGACTAATAGTGGTTGCTTTTCTGAGTGAGTCACTGTCGTCAAGTCGCTCTTTTCTGTGCCACTGTTTGAGATGTCAGCTATATAAATGTGCATGTAAGAGTGGTAAGAGTCGACAGACTTCCTGAGCCCAGAGTTCTCATGCATTGCAATGTGGGAACAGGCTGGAAGCAACTTTTGAGGGACAATGAGAAAAGCAGCTAGTATCCAGTGATTTCTATACAAAGTTGATTGAAATGGAATTTTGTGAGACTTGAGGGACAATGAGAAAAGGCGCTAATATCCAGGGATTTCTGTGCACAGTTGATTGAAATGGAATCTTGTGAGACATCTCATGTGTATTATTGTGGTAGGTATCAAATATCACCCAATAACCATTGCTGGAATCGGTGAGACCGAGCAGCAACAAGCTTTGCTTAGCTATGGGGTCTCACTTGGCTCCAGCAATAGCAAACTGCTAAATGGCCAGATAATGTATCCATATATTATTTTGCATATTACTCAGAAAATTGAACAAATGTTAAATAATCTGCATGGCTGGGTCTCCCATGATCACTGTAACCTTTTTTATTGGGGATTGTAGTGTGGGGGGGGGGGTCAGTCAATGACTCATGAGACATTGACTCCTGGGCCCTGTTTCACCGGTGATAGTAGCATGCTGCTATCAATTGCGCGAGCTGATGTAATGTGATGACGTCACACTAATGACGTTTCGTGTGCTCCGTGACCTTTTTCATAGCTGCGTTTGGAACAGAGTTGCTGTCTCTTTGAATGCATTTGATTCATTTGTTTGATCGCTCTGCCGTGAAGATGTTAGCAGCAATAGTTGATGACATCACACAGGTTGACGTCATTTGTTGATGTTTCCATGGAAACCCAATTTGACACGTGTATTAGCAGTGTGCTGGTATCACCGGTAAAACAGGGCCCTGGTCACCTATTAATGGGTGGCGGTATAAAAACCTCATTAATGATTAATGAATACACTTTTGTTTACAGTTTTGTGTCATTTGCCACCAGCTTCACATCTCACTAACTAGACTGTATCAGGCAGATTGTTGACATAAAAAACAATAAGCGCCTCTTGACAATATTCAGAAACCTATGAGGCTACACTGACCAGCTTGGTCAAGGAAGAGTATAGTTAATTTTATCATTGCACATATCTACCCATATTCCCTAATGATTTCATTGTTTTGATCTTGCACCACCTTGTCATTCACTAAATGTGTATCTTGTTGCAGATCCCATATTGCTCGATGAAGCTGGTTATGAGGTAGATTTCCTTGACTTATCAACAAAGAAGCGGCGGAAGCAGCAGAAGCGGCACCATACATGTCACCTGGGAAACAAGAAAGGAAAGCCTTCAACTGGTCGGCGAGGCAGAGCCCGCAGAAACCATGCATCAACTTCTGCAGGTTAGAGAAGGGACAGTTCTTTTACAAAAGAACTAGAAGCACAGCATTATGCGCTGCATAATATATCAAGTTTCAGCGCAATCGGCCCAGAAATGGATACGATAAATGGTTAATCAAATGGTCCTGCATGGCAATGTTAATGTTTACGACAAGAGGTCCACAGCACAATGTAAGGATCTGTTTTTCAGACCTTCCTTCCAGACTCACACCCTTATTAACGCTGTCAGCAATGTTTTGGACCCATTGATGTCCCATGTCACCCACTCCTATTTGGTTACGAGCAAGTGTGAAGCGGGATCTTATGAATATATTTGCCAAATCTTAGTGATGTGTGGCCTGCCAGCCGCTGTCACATTACATTACATAGGTATCACAATTACAGGTTTAAGAAGCCAATCTGCCTGGTCTTACCAACTTATTGTTTGTACTTGCCCTGTGTCCATTGAAGCATGATAGCATTCTTTTAGCGCAGTTTAGGTATATTCACCCATGGTTACGAAGGTGGCACTGTCCCTTCAAACAAGTTTAATAGTACAATCAATCTGTGCTAGGTATTGTAATATCCCTGGGGCCAGACATGTTAAGCTGAGAAACGTGTTTGTCATGCAGGCCTTGCTACTTAACGGATACGAGCTCACATTCCTTTTCTGAGAACTTCATGCAGTTGCAGTTAAAGGGTTCCATGGTCCTCCCTTCTAGCAGCCTGCTTGCTAGAAATGACAAATGGAATTGTTTTGTTTGCAGAGGGAGGCGATGTCAGTTCAATTGACATGCTGGTGGAAATCGAGGATACCAATGGAGGACACCAGCTAAGCTCAGATGGTCCAAGTGACTCCAGTTCGGATGATGATTGGCTGGATTGCAATGAAGGTTTGTTGGGGACAGTACTAGTAGCGTCGACACGGTGTGGGCACGTGGGGCAACTTCCCCCAACCCCCACCTCCAATCGAGCACCTGAACAATTTACACAGTAAACGATAGTCAGTTATCATATACTTATTACGGAGCGAGCGAAGCGAGCGTAGTCTTTCGTAGATTAATGGAACATTCTGAGTATGAGTGGTCGGCTGGCCTCACGCTTCTGCGAAGTTTATATCTCCGCAAACACTGGTCCGATTTACTCGGGATAATTTTTTGCAGGGTAGCTTGATTCCTTCTACCAAGTGTTGGACTATTCCACGTTCATGTGGGTGACCCTTGTCCCTTATGCACGTGCAACGTGCTAAACGAAGAGGTATCAGTTTTGTAACAAGTAACAACTGCAATATCTCGGTAACTCCTGGGCAGATTGCGCTGAAACTTGGCATGAAGGTAGGCACCCAATAGGCAGTCAATTTCCTTGTGCCACAGTTGGGGTGCTGCTGCACCCCAACTGTGCAGCAGTTGGGGTGCTGTGCACATGTGCAGGGGTCGATTCCAGATCTCGAGAACGGCTGAACTGATTGTGCCCAAATTTGGTACACGGTTAGGCACCGGTTAGTAGGGTGCAGTGCAAAATCATTTGGAACCCAACTTGAACGTGCGCACGTGCAGTGTGCAGCTCCCAGATCCCGAGAATGTTTTAGACGATTGAGCTCAAATTTGGCACATCGCTAGAGACCGGTTAGTAGGGTGCCGTGCACAAGTCAGTTGGAGGTGCCCCCTCTCAATTTCGCACGTGCAAGACCCACCCTCCCGCTCGCTCCGTTTGTTGCCCCAAAAGACGTTTTACTGGTTCTGTTGTTTGCTTTGGAACTATGTTAATGATAAATCAATACTAAATAGAAAACATTTATTGTGCCATGCTCTGGTCATTAAGATGATGAATATCTTCCTTTTTTGTCTTGAATTTTAAAACGGGTGGGTAAAAGTAGAATATGACATATATGAGGGGTATCGAGAAGTTCTGATCATCACCATGAATTTGTTGTGACAGAAATTTGATTTTTATTTTTTACATGATGTTCATTACTCCCTCACAAGTCACCGCACACGACCGCAAACTTGTTCCATCGTTTCTTGAGCTGCCTCAGGCGGTCATTGTAGGACCTTCGCACTGTTCCATAAATCGCTGCTCCGCCTCATCAATGACTTCCTTTCTGTCATTAAAACACCGGCCATACCGTAAACGGGGGTGACTTTGCCTCGCCGGGTGTTTTCAATTTCCTAAAAAAGGGCCTAGTGTTCGTTTCGAAAGGCCGAGGCGCATTTTTTTCTAGAACAAAGTCAACACACAAACTTCTAAGCGGGCTGGCCCCTTTATCGTCTGTAGTTCTTCGCTGATAATATTTTCAGGCACTGCCAGCATTGAGACCTTTCTGTTGTATAATCTAAAATAAAAGGTCACATGACGATCTGTAATGATGAAGTCCTCCACTTCCTTCGCAGTCACCACCTTGTCAATTATTCATAGTCACTCGCTTATTGACTCCCCTGCAAGGGCTATGCAACCATGTTAAAAATTATTTCTTCGCTTTCGGTAAGTGCATTGGATGGTCTTTTCGCCATACACTAATTTCACGTCCTTGGTGTATTTTCTCAGTGTAATACCATTTCAAGTGCATTAGTTGGATGACGGTTCGGTCTTCAATGGGCCCAAGGCTCATCTATTTTATTTCTTAGTCTGTCCATTATAAGATAAAACAACGTTTCAGGATTTTCTTTGCATGAACATTGTTCTTGAGAACCAAACATAATACCAACGAAAAATCGTTAAAATCGGTCTGCAACTTCTAAATTCTATGTAATGATCAGAACTTGTCGATACCCCCTCGTAGTTATAACATTTGCCCCTCCCCCTCCGAAACCAGAAAATCCTGGCGACGCCTGTGGTTGGGGACTATTAATTGTATTATTTTCTTATGTTTAACTTATTGGCTACTTCAAAGCTGATATTGCTTCTTAAGATGCTAGTGTTATTTAATGCTTATGAGTTATAAGTGGACTGCTAGCTTTGTATTGTTTCGATATAGTCTGGAATCAAAAATCCAAGTTAGATAGGAGCATACTAAAATTTTGGCTGCATACAGTCATTGTTGGTTTAGGTTGTTTAGTGTTTAAGGATCCTGACTCATATGTGTCCATATATTGTGTAGATGAGCTGGCGTCCCTCTCCGGGACAGACAACTGTGCGCACCGGAGAACGTGGGCGAAACGGCTTATGGATGAAGAGATCAACTGGGCGAAAGTTCGTGGAAGCAATCTTGAGAGCTATGTTTCATCGCAGAGAGTGCCAGATACGAGTAAGTTGGTCCATTGTAATTGTTAATTCATTTCACTTTTTGCTGTTGTTTAACATGCGCAGTGGAAGGGGGCGGATTTCGCCCACCCCTCCTGTTTTTCGCCAATAACTCGCGCCGCAAACATAATATTAATGTGAACTTTTGGCTACCTGTCCAGAATTGAACTGCGGATCTTCTCGTGCAAGAAATAGGTAAGAAAATCGGGTCACAACTTTTCTAGTAATAGCGGTGTAAAGTCAAACATCCTGCCGCCGCGGCGGCGCGGCGGCTGGCGCTAGCCGTTACGCGCCGCCTGAATTATAGACTGTGCCGAGGCGGAACGGTTCCATCTTTACATCGCGCTCCTTACCGCTGATTATATTCGATTCGCGTCAAATTTTGTGAGAAGACTAAGAAATGTACAGGCAATCTTATGGTCAAAGAATTTTGAAAATCGGCCGGTAACAACTTGAGTTATGAGTGTGTAAACACAAAATTGTGATTGCCGCGTTTCCCGCGTCGGCCGGTCCCGCTTCAGCCGGCGACATCTTACCCTCAGCAGGCTTCTAACTGCCATATTTATTGTTGGATTAACAAGAATTTCAACATACATACTCACAACTGTATATTCTTTCGTATAGTGAAAGGAAAAAGAAAATCGGCCGGTAACTTTTTGAGTTATCGTCGTGTAGACGCAAAAAAAGTCGCTCATATGGCAGATTTAACCACATCTGACCTCATTTGACCTTGAAGATATTAACCAAGGGTCATGAAATTCACACACAACAGAGTTCCCTAGGGCCTTCACCTACCCTCCAAATTTCGTCTTTCTAGCTCTAGTGGGAGCTGAGGTCTTAGGGGGGGGGCGACATCCGCCCCCCTCCCCCTCCACTGGGCGTAGTACTCGCAACTCTTCCACTGCGCGTGTTAAGTACCTATTAAAGCTGCCAGTTATCTGGTTTGCACTACCTGCTTTGGGCGCTTACAACATCGAAAATGGCTTTAATTCGGAGATATTTAAGCTCAAAGTTGCAGCACTTTGGATTCAAAGGGGCTAATGCATTTAAATGCCCCCTCTGAATTTGTGACGTCAGCGCAGATCTAGCGATTTTAAAATATCAGGTATACTAGCATCTTTATGAAGCAGTGGTGGCATATGCTGCTTGCGAGCAACATCTGCCGCACTTTAAACCCTCGCCCGCACATGGGGGGCCACCTCCGGGTAGTTTTTCTGCTTTGCACTAAATATTTTTAACACGCGCAGTGGAAGGGTTGCGACTTGCGAGTACTACGCCCAGTGGAAGGGGGGGGGGCGGATGGCGCCCCGCCCTCCTAAGATCTCAGCTCCCAGTGGAGCTAGGAAGACGAAATTTGGAGGGTAGGTGGGGGCCCTGGAGAACTCTGTTGTGTGTGAATTTCATGACCCTAGGTCAATATCTTTAAGGTCAAATGAGATCAAATGTGGTCAAATCTGCCATATGAGCGACTTTTTTACGTTTACACGCCGATAACTCAAAAAGTTAACGGCCAATTTTCTTTTTTCTTACACTATACGAAAGAACATACATTTGTGAGTATGTAGGGTGAATTTCTAGTTAATCAAACAATAAATATTGGCAGTTAGAAGCCTGCTAAGGGTAAGAAGTCGCCGGCTGAAGCGGGATCGGCGGACGCGGGAAAAGCGGCAATCACAATTTTGTGTTTACACACTCATAACTCAAGTTTTTACAGGCCGATTTTCAAAATTCTTTGACCATAAGATTGCCTGTACATTTCTTAGTCTTCTCACTAAATTTGACGTCAATCGAATATAATCAGCGGTAAGGAGCGCGATGTAAAGGTGGAACCGTCCCGCCCCGGCACAGTCTACAATTCAGGCGGCGCGTAACGGCCTGGAGGATGTTTGACTTTACACCGCTATTACTAGAAAAGTTGCGAACCGATTTTCTTATTTCTTGCACGAGAAGATCCGCAATTCGATTCTGGACAGGTAGCCCAAATTTCACATTAATATTGTGTTTGCGGCGCGAGTTATTGGCGAAAAACAGGAGGGGTGGGCGAAATCCGCCCCCCCCCCTTCCACTGCGCGTGTTAAAGTTAGAAGCCTGATTTTTTGTATAGCTGCCTCTCCATCTTTTGTCAGCGTCCACTGACAATTTCAAGTGTCTATGGTTTTTGGTTTCTGAGATATGACCTTGTTTTTCAGGTCATGTCATGACCCAAATGACCAATACGCAATATCTTTTGTTGGCCATGGATCTTGTTAGCTTTTGACACCTTGATTTCGTTTTTTTTTCTAGTCTTTCCTCCCACCTATCATGGAACATGTTATTCGACAACGTCAGGGTCATGGTTAAGGTCAACCTAGGTCATCTAAAAACATTAACGTTTGTCTAAATCGTTGTATCCACTGCCCACCTCCGTGCATTGCTAATGACCATAGCGTCATCAGGGTACAATTCGCTACCGACGCTAGTTTTGAGATGAATTTGAGACTCACCTAACAAAACGGCATTTCTCAAACGGAACGGTGCTGCACCAATATTTCCATACCGACCGTGTTCGGACAATATTTCAAACTCCTTAAAAATGGTTGGATACGTTGTGTAGCATATTTTTCGTAGATTCAGATATTTTATTTTGCTTAACTTGTTATGGTGTTATGGTATAAGGGGGGGGGGTCCGTCGGACCCCCCCTGCCGTTTCGCCCCTGATCGAGCTAGAGCTTCGCGGAAAAAACGAGCGTGTTGCCCGTGACGAGAGGAAGCCGATGATACCTAATTTTAAAGTCCTAGGTCATTGGTTGACCTTGCAGGTCAGGTCAATGACCCAAAAGTCGGGAAAATCGGGACCTGTTAGAACGTCGTAAAGTGTGGCTGCTATGGGGTTTTTCGGGGCGCTGATCACGAATATCATGTTAGTTTTGATCACAGATGATGTCTTTATGCATTTAGTCCAGGTCGGGTCAGGTCAGGTCAGGTCAACCAGTAGGGGTCCTGCCGGGTATTCCTAGTAGGTGTCAACCGCCTCTGACAGCTTCGTAACATGTTGCGAAGGCACCAAAACTACTTCGTAAATGTTCATATGGTTGCTAAATTCGAATTCAGCTCCAAAAACTGGCCTAGAAACATGTAAAACTCGAAAAAGTGAACCGAGGTCACCAAAGGTCAGTGACCTGACCTGACCTTCAGGTGACCTTATCACCCACCCTAATGCATGGGGGCAACATCATATCACATGTTTGAACGCTTGAAACCACGAAAAGACTGCAAACGCGCGGCCAATGCGAGCCGACATACGCCGAATCGCGATTCCGGCCAAACATGGTCTCGAAAACTAGGTCACAGGTCAAAGGTCATTAGGGTCAGGGTCACGAAAATTTCAGGGTAGGTGTAAAATTGATTAACGCGAGGGTACTGAAAGTTTCGTCGCAATCGGCCGCTTTTTACGCGAGTTATTCGCGAAAAACCATGGGGGGGGTCCGTTCGACCCCCCCCCCCCTATACGGGCGAGGGTTAATTTGGAATAGTCTTAATAACGTAATGTTGTCTAAAGCACTACGTTGGCTCTCAGTACTTAGTGAAATTGAATAACTACCTGAATACTTGTTACTGGTGACTTTGGTATAGTTACAACGAGCAAAGTTCGTGCTCCATAATTTTATCAACGAAGTAAAAGAAAGTAAAGAAAGATCCTAAAATGACATGCATGACCGCGTCCGCGTCTTTGGCAAAAACAAAACTAGCCTCAATGTGATGCAAGATTTGAAATATTGCTGTAAAAAGCTACTACCGTTACGTTACTACGTTCCATGTCCGATCGTCTCGTGTCAGATAAGCCTTCCACCTTCCACCTTGTTTGTCGGTGAATAAACATGATTTACTGGCATGTACAAACATTGTGCTTTGTTTTGCAGGGTCATGTAGCTGCGGAGCGATCGCCGCTGTTTCGTGCAATGACTGTCTTGAAGCATTTATGTGCCCATTCTGCGATGAAGCAGCCCATGCGTGGAAACCATTCCACCGTCGGTTTTGCTGGATATCTGGACACTTGCAGCCCCTGAACCCCAGGTGTACCGTCGCTACAGAAGACGAAGATAGGCAGTACAGGAACATTGGTAAGCTCCAATTCTCCATGGGTTTCCATGTCAAAGCCTTACATTAAATTTATTAATTATAGAAATTCATAACAGCAGCTGTTCTATAGCTCGCACACTTATTTCTTTTTGCATTTTGTTTGATTCAAGTTGTAACCTACATGAAAGGAAACGTCCCACCTTTATAATGGGAAACTAAATTGAGATGGCAGTTTTATATCTAAGGTAAAAAAGCGTAAAATGCCGTTATTCATACACGAGGTGCCATGACTTAAATCTACTAAGTGTCAAGCGAAATCCAGTGGATACTGAGGGGCTTAATGGGACTTAGAAATAAATATAAGCTAGATTGCCGATGTTCACGTACAATTCGAAACTGCGTCGCATATGAGTTGTGGAAGAAAGCACCGATGAGTGTGAGCCTCTGCACAATGAATCTGATTGCCTGAATGAGCTGTGGTGCAATTATCAAGATTAACTGAAAATGTTGATTTATAACAAAAAAAGCAATATTTTGAGCCTATTTTACCTTTCCTGTGAAATATGTCATAGCGCATTCCAAACAAGAAATGTCAAAGGTGGGACGTTTCCTTTAACACTGGATTTGCGAGAACCTAAAACAGTCGGAGAGGTGTGTCTCCCTGAATAGCTTGAAATTTAAGCAATGTAACTAGAAGTAAAGAAAAATGGCACTCAAGTTCTCAACAGTGTCAATCAAGTGTTTTGGATATGCGTGTCTCCTTAGCTCAATGCTGATACAATTGGAATCCGGGGAGTTGTGACAGATTGTATGATGGTGCTGATTATCAGTGCTTTCCGCGATAACTAATTTTCGGACCTGCGATAACGATAAAACGATAAGATAGGTTTGCGATAACGATAAACGATGTAAATTCTCAAAAAATTAACAGCGATAGCGATAAAACGATAAAGCGATAACGATAATTGTTTTTTATCAGCGATAACTAAACGATAAACGATAATTGTACACCTTTTTGCGTTGTTCGATGGCCAATCGTCATAACCATTTCGGCATCAGTTTGGACAAGCGTCATTCAGAATAACCCATCGGCGATGTGCATCACTGTTTGACGGTCGGCAAAACAGGCTGGACTCCATTTAACCATTCTGCATAACTCTTTGTCATTGAGCACAATGTTCGTCATAGGCAAAACACTTTGTCAGATTGTCATAATGCTTCGACATTTCACAAAATGGTTAGTCGATGTGCAAAATTCATCGGTACTGTGCGTAAACAATGACTGTTTATTTAAAACTTTCGTCAATGATCAAAATGTCAATGATGTAGTGCTTATCTAGCCATATTCAATGTTAAACGTTATTCACGCATTCAGGGATGAGGCTTATGACAGTTCCAGCGCAATTTGCAACCAATTAACCATTGAATTCCGAAAAGGCAGTTATACCATAGCTACGAGGAGACTGCCGGCGCCATACCGAGTAGGCATGTAGATTCTTGAGCGTCGGACTCCTAAACGCTTCGATACAAACCACGAAGTCGGCCGTCATTATCGCGTCACTGCCCGTGCGATGTCATGGGACAACGCCTCGGGCGGCCGCGCCGGTCGGACTCGCGAGGGAATGGCTGACAGATGGCAAGCCGGGCCCTGCCGGCCGGACACCTTGGTTTTTGGGGCGGGGCTGACTTATCCAGCCTGTTGCCTGTTCCTTGGTGTTTGAGGCGGGGTTAACTTATCCAGCCTGTTGCTCTGTTGCCTGTCCATTTTTCTATCAGCCGATAACATGTCAGCTACGTCCATCTACATTGTACCTATGGCGCTCATGAACGCTACCGATTTTTATGTGGATCAATGGTCTACGAGTTTCACCACCTATGCCTCGCATTGCACTATATAAACGCGGTCATATTTATACTTCTCTGTAAAGGGGCGATCTGTTTTTAGTTTTGACGAAATGTTATGAGGAATGCCGAAATTAGCATGGGGATGTTTTGGTGAACGACGAAGGGATATTAACGAATGACGAAGCATTTATCCAAATCGTCAAAGGTTTTCCCGGAACTCAATCAGTTATGGCGAATAGCGAAGGTAATACCAACTGACGAACTGTGGAGTGGGATCAGCATTCCGTTTTGCCCATATGCCGAAGGTTTTGCCGGAATGCCTCTCACTGGCGCCACCTATGTGCTGACCGGACGAATGGGTTTTGCTGATTGGCCATCGAACAACGCAAAAAGGTGTATTAACAGCGATAACGAAACGATAAACGATACATCGATAACGATAATTGTTTTTAACAGCGATAACAACAGAGATAAGAAATACAGCTTCAATAAGTGTAATTAAAAGTCTATACACTTAGCAGATGGCAACAGGTTGCGCACATATACTGTCGCGCGGCATACACTGTCAATCGTCTTCCATTTTTTTCATCATCCCGTTTTACATTTTATCGTTTATCGTTCATAATTTTTGTAACTTGCGATAAGTGGATGAGCGATAATTTTGAAAATTTAGCGATAAACGATAACGATACCGATTTACTTAACAGCGATAATTGTTTATCGTTTATCGTTCATCCTATCGCATGCGGAAACCACTGCTAATATATATATACTGGGTGCCCCATGAAGAATTACCAAACCATAAATTCACTTTATTTCCTAACGGGTTGGCCTAGGTATGCCATCTCTTGCCCACATGTCGCAAATTTGTCTCCAATCCTGACAGTGTAGCTCATTTTGTATATGCTCGTCCGCTGTCTCTGCTACGCCCCTGAAATGCGAGGTCGTCTTAACGCACATCCGCCGCTCCTGAAATTCAGGAATCACCACTGGATGTTGGCTGCTGAACACTCTGGTCTAAAGAGTGTTGGGCACAATTTATACCCGACTTCAGCCCCACGGGCTTCGCAAACTCAAATACCCTGAAAACCCCACTCTACTGAGTCCCTGAAACACCGCAAATGACATACGGCGCAGCATTGTTGGGTATAGCATGGGTGATCGAGGAAAATAAGTGAAAAGACGGTGCGGCGGCCGCGTGCCATAGTGCACTCGCGTCTCGGGCGCGTGATATAAGGAGAATGCTAGCATACAGAAAACAGACTACATTTATTAGTTAGGAGATGACGTTGCTATATGTATGCAAAAGATGACATGGCTATGTCAGCTCGCCTTGAAAAAGTGAACTTTTCGATGGGTAAATCTTTATGGCTCACCCTTTATATATATTATTAATTATATATTATATTGTCATAATGTATGTGTCTCCGTATTGGCAGTCGCCAGCGTGCCACTCTTGAAGACCCACCATCGATGCGGCGAATGCGGTTCTGGAGATGTGGAGCTGGTGGCAGACGGATCCCGAGACATCATTGTGGTAACAGAACGTGGTAAGTCTTTTCAATTAAATTTCTATTAAAGATAAGTTCAACGCCATAAGCTTGTTCCTGGTCATTCCAATCTACAAGCAGTTTCCAACGGTGCTTAGCCCATCCCTTCTCCCGTGAACTGAACCAATTCCGACCAATGTGTATCATTACTGTAGCACGTGGCTCGTTATCTGTGATGGGGCAGTGTTGCGATTTCCCGGCACTGCGGAGCCAGGAGAATGTGGCAATGTGGGGTTGCTCAGCTGAAGCCTCAGCCTTTTGGGATCCGTCAGAAGCGAGGCTCGCTACCCTTCTATAGTGCAGCTGAGGTGCAAATTGACTGCACTTATTCATTGGTTCAGCATGCCAGAAGTAGCTTTTTACTGTTGAGTACATATACATCAAATATTTATTTATGGACGGAAGCAAAATGACATCAATTTCCTCATAATTGCGCATTTTGAAGCCCTGAATGAACTTGCGTAGTCACAAAGTTTGCATATCAACCGAGGCACGCGGCGGTAGCACCTGAGGCCCTTTGGAGTACCCGAAAGGCTGGGAGTCGAACGAAGTTAACCTACCCGGATAATAAAACGTCCGGACCAGAAAGAGGCCACGATTCCGTCGTCGGACTGAGGGATGTCACAAAATGTTTACTTAGTCTTATTCGGTTAAGCGGCGGTGCCAATTGTTAAAATTCGATCTGTGGCTTGAGCCGCTCATCATATACAATATATGGGTAATGGGTAGAGGTTGGTTAGAGGCACATAAACTATGAGTTTTGGGAAAGTCCTGGGTGTGGCACTCGCGTGTGCACGTGCTCACATGCACACCTCTTCTGCGCTCCCTTGTTAATCGCCGAACACGACACGTAACTGCCTACTGGTGCATCCTTTCATTGGCGTCCTCTGTCGCAGGAAGGCTGCAAAGTGCAATGTTTTCAAATTTTACATCATTATTCCCGGATTACCATTTATCTTCTGGGATACATGCCATCTGTTCCTTGCTTTGATGGCTCATTTTGTTTTCCCAATTAAATGCGGTGATGCTTATTAGTTATTGTTTACTAATTGTTGTCAGAAAAAAAATTAGTGTCTGATGTAAGTGATGTGTTGCAGGGCGACACAATTTGTGTGCACCGCTCTGGCGGTGCACTGTTTGCGCATCACGGGAGCACCCAACTGCAGAAGAGTGGTACTCGCATGGTTTCTTCCCGGGATCGCCAGTGCATATGAAGACGTTCTTCCTCATGGACGTGTTCCAACTCTGGAGAGGAATCAAGTTTCTATCTCCTGGTACTTCCCTGAGAGCCTTCGTACAGTCTCTGAACAGGACTGGGCGACTTGCCTGCCGGGTGAGTGTGTAGAATTTCCCACCACCTTGATAGTTGCCTGTACTATATATCCTTAAACTCCTCTCTCTCTCTCTCTCTCTCTCTCTCTCTCTCTCTCTCTCTCTCTCTCTCTCTCTCTCTCTCTCACTCTCACTCTCACTCTCACTCTCTCACTCTCACTCTCACTCTCACTCTCACTCTCACTCTCACTCTCACTCTCACTCTCACTCTCACTCTCACTCTCACTCTCACTCTCACTCTCACTCTCACTCTCACTCTCACTCTCACTCTCACTCTCTCTCTCTCTCTCTCTCTCTCTCTCTCTCTCTCTCTCTCTCTCTCTCTCTCTCTCTCTCTCTCTCTCTCTCTCTCTCTCTCTCTCTCTCTCTCTCTGTCGTGTACTTGTAACTAGGGTGGGTGTGTGCGTTTATATTATATGTATGTGTGACAGTCAGGCAGAGTCGGCGCACATGCACTCACTCACTCTCACTCTCACTCTCACTCACTCTCTCTCTCTCTCTCTCTCTCTCTCTCTCTCTCTCTCTCTCTCTCTCTCTCTCTCTCTCTCTCTCTCTCTCTCTCTCTCTCTCTGTCGTGTACTTGTAACTAGGGTGGGTGTGTGCGTTTGTTTATATTATATGTATGTGTGACAGTCAGGCAGAGTCGGCGCACATGCAGTACTTGTGCGCGTGCTGGTTGTGTAGCACATTGACACATTGGTCGACGGTTGATCCGTGCAAAGAACTGCCTCTATAGTCAGTGCCCACCTGTTTTTTCGTTATAAATCGATAATCGAAGGTGCACTGTAATTTTTTCACAAGCGAGGTCTATTTATTGCCAGGATGGAGACATCAACCAAGACCGGTTTGCAAAAGCGTATGCTGAGTGGTCATACATGACCTTTGCAGCTCAGAAGTTGGCTGGATGGGACCCGATGATATGTCCGGCGTGTGGCCCCCAGCCATCCTGCATCCACGTAGACGGCAACGCCAAGCTGTATCGTTATAAGTCGGCTGGTGATGCTTCAACGCTGAAGCCTTATATGCAGGATGTTTGCATCTTCAACAACGCGTCGGTCGATGCTCACGTCGCCGAAACTGAATCGTGCAACTCGGAGGTATGTATGACGTATGTACATTTGTTATTACTAAATTTACGATTTCTGGAAAACAACAGTTTTGATCTCGTCGACACACCATTCCATGGGACATATACTGCTAAAGCGAAGTTAAATTGAGAATCAGGGTTGATTGAATCAAACCAAGAATCAAACAAATTAACGATTCATGAACTTAAAAAGAATTGAAGTGAACATAGTTCATTATCAACAAATGTTAACACTACCACCATGTGATGATAATCCATGACAACAAAAAGAACACAACAAATACATTAATATCCCTGATATTTTTTGATATTTTAATTTTTTAATCGAATAAAACAAATCGTTCATTAACTTTTTGGATGAATCAAACGTGAATCATTCCTTTTTTTGTTTTTTGATTCTCTAAATTAAAAGGAATCGATTCACCAAATTTTTTGAAGGTATCGAACGCTGATTGAATCAGAAAAAAAAATCAAATGAATCAATGATTAAATCGATCCAAAAAAGGTGAATCAATAACAAGTCTGACCAACACCCGACTTGTTTCAGAGCTCCAACCGATGTGGCGTGTCAACATGGGCTGCGGGCAGAAACAAAACCAGTCTGCCATCAAAGCGATCCCAGGACGAGACAGGGCTGTCAGTGGCGACGTGTCGCCACAGCATGGTTCTCGGTGCCATCAACATGTACCGAGGTGAAATATTTGCCTACTGCCACTTCCTGCACATGCAGTTCAGGTTAGTTGAATTTGGAACAGGCTTAAGGCTTTGTATGTACGCATGTATTATTTAAACAGACGAAAGGACTGTATCCATCGTGATTTGTTAAAAAGAGTTGCATTTGAACTGAAAATGATGCATTAATTGGCACGAGTGTTGGCGAAAGACATGTTAATTTGGAGGAGGTACACTGACAGCTATGTTGTTGTCACTTCGTTGCGCACCGTGGTTATTGAAGCCGAAGACGGAATTCACTTATGTTGCATATCATTCGATGCGTCTCACCAAGACTAACACAATGAGACCATCCCCAGCGTTCTATCTCTTTCCAATCGCGAGTTATTGGCAAAAAACTGTTTGTAGCCTCAAATGACCTCGGATGACCTTTCTAGAGGCTATCAGCAATAATGACACCTTGGTCATCACGAGTGGACTAAATCATTGTGATTCTGAAATATTTGGACTGTTCCTATGCGTACACACGGATCTAGAGGCATTTTCATTTTTCTCCATTGACTTATAATGGAAAGGTCACGCCACTGTCCTGACCTTAGGTCACGGATATAAAAAAAAATCCGAGATATACAATTATAGGTGCCCATAACATCATTCAATCCACCAAGTTAAAAACCTCCTAAAACACTGCAGGCTGGACATGATTGCAAAATTTTTGGAGACTTGGTCAGTTCACTTGACATGGTGACCTGACCTGACATGAACTGGGGTCAAAAATTTCACGCATTGTCCAAAATTGATGTAGAGTGGCGCGGCGCTACGCGCCGCGATTTTTAATCACACGCAAAAAACGCGACAGGGTGGTAACATATGCCCCCCCCCCCCACTGGGACGAAGGTTAAATGAATTCCCTCAAATGTCTTCGTGATAAATGGAAGGGGCGCATTACTGAAGCATCGTTCAATGAGTTGCAAAGTGATGCTTGGACTTAACCAATTTACTCATGAAAGAGTGAAACGGACGTTTCTTAAACCTAGAACGCCTAGGGGGGGGGGTTGTATCAACCCCCCCCCCATGAGGTTTTTTCGAAGTGCACGCTAAACGGCTTGTCGTAGCGGGCTGAAATTTTCAATACCCTCTGGGGCAACCTTTGCGCATCTTTTGCCGAAAAAAATTGATCGGGTCATGTCAGGTCACGGAGTTATGACGTCATAAGAGGTACAGCCTCCGGCCGACAGTTACCAAACGTGTGCGCCGAATCCCTAGGTTTTCTGCCGGTGATACCCACATTGTTTGATGGATCATGATGAAACTTCCCATGCATGTTGGGGCAAGCATTGGCTATCGTGTGGTGCAAGAAAATTGACCGGGTCAGGTCAGGTCACGGAGCTATGACGTCACAAGAGGAACAGCGTCCGGTACTATTTTTGAAAAGCGCCCGAACCACTATTTTGCTAATTCTTGTCACCTCAATGGGAATATGCAGCAATATTAGCTTCGATAGGGAGCAAATGGTCCTCCCAAATCCAAAAATACAATCAGATTTCAAAAATTTAAATTTTGATTTTTCGAATTTCTGCCGCCGACTGTGACCTTGCCGACTTCCGGCGCTCCCAACGCGCCATTTTTAGAGCTAGGGAAACGAAATAGATACCAAACGATAGAGAATTGATCAAGGAACACGATAGTGAAGGTTTCAAGTCGATATCTCCCACCGTTTTGCCGCAATCGCCGCGGAAAGTTGAAAAAGTTTGATTTTTTCGGAAAATTTGACCTTTGACCGGTCATAAGTAGGTCAAATGTTGACCTAGGACCAAAAAATATACCACCAATCGCGAGATCTCGTTGAGAGCAATCCGTTGGTTTTTCCGCTAAGCTCTACGACCTTCCGTTGCCAGGGGGTCGTAACAACCCCCCCCCCCCCACAGTGATGCAAATGGGGTTCACGAGTGGCCATAAATACCCAAAAGTCAAGTTTACCAAATCGAGTTAATTGCGATATGGCCGAGTAGGCAAATGTTTGGGGCATCTGAAATCACATGGTTTTCATGTTTTTGTCCAACCCGGCCTCGTGTATAATCGTCAGAAGTCGTGACATTTTCTAGATCGTAAAATGACGGTCAGACACTCGCAAATTCAAACGCCGCTGGTTTGCGTTCATTTCGTACAAATTGAAAAATTATGCATGGGAATGATCCCCAAAGCCTTCTGCTTCTAATGCCAGGTCACAAAAGGCCGTATCTCATTCGCTTTGGCGGTAATCTGACTATTTATCATCATGTTGCAATCGCAGTTTTTTACTAAGAAAAAAATGCTTTCGTTTCACCTACAGCACTTAACACAGTGTGTGCCCGTTAGTCCACCATACCATAGCCTTCCCTAATTATTTCTGAGTCGCATCGTGAAAGAATTAAGGCGCTAGCACAGGACTGACCGGCGCTACAGAGGTTTTTGTCCGGGCGATCGGGTGCCGCAGTGGGCGCGCAGTGGGCGGGTGGGTGCCGCCGCGCGGCGTCCGGGCGGCCTGCTGCGCCGCGGCACCCGAACGTGCCGGACGAAAACTTCTGTAGCGCCGGTCAGCCCTGTGCTAGCGCCTTAATTCTTGCACGATGCGACTCAGAAATGATTAGGGAATGCTATGATATGGTGCACAAATGGGCACACACTGTGTGAAGTGCTGTAGGTGAAATAAAAGCAAATATTTTTGGTAAAAAACGGCGGTTGCAACATGATTACAAATAGTTAGCTCACCGCCAAACCAAAATAGATACGGCTTTTTGTGACGTGGCATTAGAAGCAGCAGGTTTCGGGGATCATTTTCATGTATACTTTTTGCAGTTTGTATGACATGAACGCACGCTAGCGGCACTTGAATTTCAAGTACCTGACAGTCATTTTACGACATCGAAAATGTCTCGAATTCTGACAATCCTACACGAGGCCGGTTTTGACAACAACATTAAAATCATACTTTTTCAGACACCCCAAACATTTGCCTGACTGACCATATTACGATTTATTCGATTAAGTGAACTTGAATTTTGGGCCTTTTTCGTATTTATGGCCACTCGTGAACCCCATTTGCATCACTGTGCCCCCCCCCCCCCTGGTCGTTCGTGTTATGAGAAATGGCCTGGTCGTGCGAGGGTTAATCCGCCTGTTTGGTGGAACGCCCAGCTGTATCGGACCTTGCTCTTGGCTTCGCAAGACGGATGTTAATGCCTTGTTATGTCTTGTGACATTGTCAGTGAGTTTGTTCTCCTTTTCAGGAACTTAGCATTTATGGCAAGCGATGTCGCATGCCAGTATTGGCCATGGGCGCAGCGACTGGCAAATCGACTTCTGCAGTTCGACGTGGGCGACACCCAACCTTTCCTGAGCGTGATGCACGCAACCGGACATGCGTACTACTGCCAGGTACAGTGACTATAGAAATTATGCTTTTAGCCTGCTTCTTGATTCATGGTCAGTGTAACGTCAATGTCTTTATATCTGATCAGATCTTGCATCTCTTTTTTTTTGGAGGTCCAGCTATTTTAGGCACTAATTCTTGCCCTGGTGTTTCTACTGTTAATATTACTGGCCGAAGAATGAAACTGAAAAACATGAAGCATTTAAAGAAATATGGCATTATACCTATGCCAGGTGGCTTTTATGATTTAAGCAATTCGGCTTGCTTGTTGTGCTATGCATTTTCTTTTCGTACGTTCTGAATGTTGCGTTTTGCCTTTACTTACAGATTAAGTACGGTGGCTTTTGGCAGGAGGGATCTGGATGGGCCGTCATGGAAACAACGGAGCAGGCAAACGCACTGCTAAGCAGGGCTGGAAATCCCACCAAACACATGACGGCTGCCCAGAGAGATGACTACCTCACTGACCTCATCATCAGCTGGAACGAGCGGAAGAGTGGGAAGCTGATGGAGCTGCTGATCTCCAAGCATGCTCGGCTAAAGAAGGCAGCCTGCACTCTACAGCGTGAGCTTGATGAGATGCTGCGCGAGCACAAAGTCGATGTCAACGATCTCCCGTCGATGGTTGAGGAGCTTCGAGCTTTGGCTGATGCGTTGTGTGCCAGCGACCGCCTCAGCGACGACAACATCCGCAACGGAATCGTTCTGTGCGGAAACAGCATCCGCGAGAAATCTGCCAGGCTGCTGCAAGTAGACAGCTCCAAGTTACGGTCGCGCCTGCGCAGATCGAGGGCAGCCGAGAAAGCAAGGCTTGTCACACTGCTACGCAGTTACGAGCGTCTCACAGGAGAAAAGATAGACATGGATGACGTGTTAGATGACTGCCTTCCGTGGCAAAACCGGGGCGTCGTGGATCTGGCAATCAAGCGCAACATATGCGATAAGCTCATGCGCATGCGAAGAGCGACCGAAGAACAAGACATCCTCATGGGCGAGATGACCACCCTACAGCACAGCATACGCGACAGGAGGACCTCAATCGAGGAAAAGGCAGCGTGGCTAGAAGGCGTCCTATCTCTACCGCTCGACCAGCGACCGACACTGGACTCGGGGGCGGAAGGCCGATACGTCCTGTGTCACAACGACGATGGCGTAGTGCGAGGGCTGCTGGCAATGTGCCGACGTCAAGTTCGCCTCCTAACTGCAGATTTGCTGTATGGTGATGACGCGCTGGCAGCTTACTTCTCCCAGCCTGGAAACGACGGCTGATTACTCATTTCCCACCATCGACGCGGCAACCCAACATCTCGGCATCCGTGTGGTTTCCTGTCCTCGCGGACCAGTCGATATCCGATACCTGGGTCCTGACGTATCTGTGTACCTGTGTTAGGCTTTAAGTGCTATACCATTCGGTGCATGAAGTATACACTATACAGGGTGTCCCATAAGTTTGTTCTCGCCTAACTTTTGATTTTAGGGGCTCTCTTGTTTTACCACACGAGCATCTTAATTCGTAAATGAGCTTATGTGGTTGCCATGGCAACTGGCAATATGGTGTACAAGGAATCAGACATGGGCACGGATCCCAGACGACCAAACACGAAAATCAAGATGGCCACTAGATTAGTGGACTTTAAGCATGGAATTATGGTGGAAAACATGGCCAATAGATGCCTCTCAACGAACCAACTATTTTGCATTCCCTCAGAGTTCATAGTTTTGAGAAAATCCCTCAAGATCCATCTCGGATCCATGGCCACGAATCATGGATCCGAGATGGATCTTGAGGGATTTTCTCAGAACTGTTAACCCTGAAGAAATGCAAAATAGTTGGTTCATTGAGAGGCTTCTATGAGCCATGTTTTCCACCATAATTTCATGATTGAAGACCGTCAATCTAATAATACGGCGGTTGGCATGCCACAACGTGTATTCATACGATAGTCCATGGAATGAGGAACATATTTAGTGGTCTTAAGTGTATCAAAACGCAATGTGTTGTTTTAAACGCAAATAAAATGTGAGAACGAACTTTTGGGACACCCTGTATGTGGTATGAGACTCATGCACTGCCGATCACCGATGCTCGTCAGTCAAGTGATAGCAACTGCGAGCGGTATTTGTGTGTATGCGTGTGCCCGTCCGTGTATGGCTGGATTGTTCATAAATGACAATCTTAAATACACTCCAGGTCTGATAGCATCGTGTCTTTCAGCCAATGTGTTCCTGGGTACCCATTCGAAGCGTGTGTAAGGGTCAAAGTCGAGCGCGTGATTTATGTGAGTGGAGTGGCGGTCCGGAGAACCAGAGTGCGTGTCAGGTCACGCCTTATGATCGCTCCGGCGGGAAAGGCGTGCCAGCCGGGTGAGAGGCGGCGGCTGGCCCGCGCCTGGGATTCGCGGGTCCGTCTCTCGTGGCATTTGCCTGTGCCCAGCGCCCAGGCGCCGCGGAAGTCCCGACATGCGTCCTTTGGGCTTCCTACCCGCCGCAAATAGCGGTGGGCATCAGACTGGTGTTCAATTCACCCGTGTTTGAGTCGATTGGATTGAATAAGACAAAATTTGTTGAAGCGAAAAGGTCTGATGCACCGTCAGGATTGTTCGATTCACAAGTCATGATTGAACCAAACACATTGGGAATCAGGGTGTGCGTTGTGAGCGTGGAGAGTGTAGTGACTAGTGTGCGTGTTAACATGTGTAGAGAATCATCGCGAATCCCAACCCGAGGTGCCAAAATGTAGTCTAGAATGTGAGCGAAAGCTTTCATCGGGGTAAGGGCTGATGCCGGGCTGATCCATAGTGAACGCGAACGATCATACCACATACGGGCCGCTAAGTTTAACACACCCGGGTGGCAAGCGCAAGGGCAAGCGGGCATTGTATACTAAATTCGTATAATATATTTTAAACCTGAGTAGGTAGAACAAATCTTTTAAACGTCGAGCCGACAGGCGAGGCGTTTAAGAGATTTTTCTACTTACGAGCGGTTTAATAATTTTATCCCGTAGGCACCGCCGATATCTTTCGGGCGCTTAAAGGTAAAAAATGCATTTATATAAAAAAATACGACGCATTGCAGACTATACGAAATGTCTACCACCAGACGCTAACAGTTTGTTAATCGTCTAGACGTTTAACAAATCAGTTAAACGGGTTAAACGACATCTGATAATTTTCTCTCTGCACGTGAAGCAATTGTAAACACTGTCTACTGTGCGGGATAACGTAATATTGGCGAAAATCGTACAGTCATCACCCGTACAGTACAGTTCACATCGTAGGGTTCATAAAAAAATACGACATATTTCAGACTATACGAAATGTTCGATACGTTATCGGGCCCGGAGGACCAGAAATGTTCGTGCGTGTTCGCGATCGTTCACTTGTTCTAGTTAGTAGGGTAGGTACTCGTGCGCCGCCCGGAGGACCATCACGTTTTTGTTCATATAGGTATACGTCTACTCGATTATCAAACAAACGGTTGAATCGATACGCCTACGTCCGTCACACGTCGTCAGGCCGCGTCGGCCACGTACACCGGCGCGGCCTCGCACCGGCGGAGTCGCGTCGAAAACTCGTAGTCGTCAGGCCGCGTTGGCCACGTCATACACCGGGGGCCGTGTCGCACCGGCGGAGCCACGTTCAAGACTGTCGGGCCCCCGTCCCGTCTCAGCCTTCGTGGAAGCACAACACTTCGTGGGCATGAGAACCAGGACGGGGGCCAGAGTACACATGTGCGCGCCAAGATACATAATGAGACGTATTTGCTCGCTAACACGTAATTTTTCCCGATGCGTTGAACTTGAAACCCCCATAAAAATGGTGCACGCGGCCGGAAAATCTTTCCCGTGGGAGGTCCGGACAGCCGAAGTGCACCTCTCGCCACAATCTACGATACTCGATGGTGTAGTATTCCGCTCCCGATATTGATGTACATCGGTATTGATGTACATCGGCGCCCGGGAGGTAATTGTCGTTTGTGGGCTCATTGCCGGTGTTCAGCACCGTTCAGCACAACCGAAGGCCTGGCTCCAAAGGGGATCCAGCTGCATGTCGTTTGTCGTATGGGAGCCTGGACGAAACCCGGGTATTGCAGAGGCGGGGCCAAGGGCAACGAGGTAGGCGGCTGTTTCCGCTCCCCTGGAGATGTTTACCCAGTTTACCGGTTCACGGTTGTACTGTTCTTACTTTTGGCTTCAATATCTTGTGTTAACCCTCGTCCGTATTGGTGGTTTGCCAGCTGCGAACGCATAAGGGGGGGGGGGGGGACCCCTTGCCGTTTGACCCCTGATCAAGCTAAAGCTTCGCGGAAAAACGAGCGTGTTGCCCGTGGCGAGAGGAGAGGAAGCCGATGATACCCAATTTTAAGGTCCTAGGTAATTGGTTGACCTTCCAGGTCAGGTACGTGACCCAAAAGACAAGTCAGGAAAATCGGGACCTGTTAGAACGTCGTAAAGTGTGGCTGCCATGGGGTTTTTCGGGGTGCTGATCACGAATATCATGTTAGTTTTGATCACAGATGATGTCTTTATGCATTTAGTCCAGGTCGGGTCAGGTCGACCTGGACCTAAACGGGCGAGGGTTAATTACTGTTTCCGTGCTTTTCGTCACGTCCATACGCGTGAATCAGCCCAGTTAAAGGGGGTATGGGGGGACAATTTGCCATCGCAATAATTAGGTAGATCAGGTACGAGGGCAGTCGGGTTGCGTGAATCGGTCGGAATGGTTTCTGCGCCCGTGCGCATGGAGGCAGATAGTCTTCGTCGGTCGCAAGCATTTAGCATTCGACGGGGTCTTCGGTCAGGTGATGAGCCGTCACCGTTTAGTAGTGACGGCTATAAGAGGAGCTCCTCACACCGGTGAGTATCGAGGGCCCGACATGCCCCGGTATTTTCTAGTGTTTTCGTGTGTTTATGATTAAAATGAAGGAATGTAACGGCCACTGGCTGGCAAGATGTTTTAGTAGAACGTACAAGGGCGTGTGCGGACATGAGAAGTGGCGGGAAATTGTTGGCATTCATGTTATTGTCTAAATTTGTTTTTAATTCATTACATTCAAGTTAAATGTAAGTGAATTGCTGTTTGTTTCATCTACCGTTTAAGCCTCACATAGAGACCCCCGAAACTGTGCTCATTTAGTGCCACCCTCACAGTGGTAGGTAACGCTGTCTAAATCTGAAGTGCAGTGCTATTTTAGCTGTGCACATTACTCGTATCTTAAGATTTTACCGGAATGTCAGGGGTTATACAGAATGTATTGACAACATCGGTGCAGTACCTATAGATCGGGGAAATTATGATCGCGTGTTTTGCATAGGATATCAGCTCGGGTGACGATCCGTCCCGTATAAACCCGCGCGACCGGTGGTCTTACCGTCTTAATACCTGAGCGAGGGGCTGAGAGTGCCTTCACCGGCCTGAATGGGGTGTTGAAATACGGTGTTCTGTTATGCGTTTATGTATGCATAGATATTTATGTTCGCTGTGCGCGCCGCAAGGAATTGCGTTGCGCGAGAAAGAGTCGTGCAGTTGTGCGGGAAAGCGGGGATTTCGCGCGACAGGGAATAATAAGGAGTCGCGCGAGAGAGGCGCTCGAAAGCAGTCGACTCGTTAGAGAGTCGCATGCGAACAATAGGTAGTATAACCAATAATAAGGTATCGCGCGCGAGAGTCGCGCGAAGGAGAAAGCGCACGAGAAAGTCGCGCGCACGGTGAAGCGCGCGAGCAAAGGGGCTCGCTGGTTACAAACCGCGGGAGCGCCAAGCGAGGAGCGTCGGAGCCTCACCCAGTGGCGGATCCAAGGGGGGGGGCAAAATGGGCATTTGCCCCCCCCCCCAAACGGCATGATTTTAACATTACGCCTATGGACGATGCATGGAAAGAATCGATACATTTTTATGATTTGCCCCCCCAAACCTCTGAGCTGGATCCGCCTCTGGCCTCACCGACGCCTCTTCTGTTGACGCGCGCGAGGAGCGGATCTCCGGCCGCGCCATGGGGGGGGGGGGGGCGTGGGGACTGGGGAGGGATGGATATCGGGGAGGGGAAGGAATGTGTTTGCGCGGACATGGGACGGGGCTACTGAACGGGGCCGGGGGTTGAGAATTTAAATGACGAGGGTACCAGACGACGGACAGAGGCGTGGGAAGGATGACGGAACGGTTGAATGGATGACTGAGTGAGCAAGCGCATGGAAATATCGGCCCCGAATACGTGGCCGAGCAAACGTAGGTATCGGACGCGGAATACCCTGTTCGCCTAATATCGAGATTCAGACGCATTTGCCCCGCTCGGGTACTCGAGGCCAATCACGAGAGGTGTGTGGTCGGGGGCACGCATGGTATGTTGGACGCGGTGTAGGAGGAGAGTCAAGAGATTGTGAGTTGGTAAGAGAGACTAAGGATGAGACAGAGGCCGAGAAAAGAGGGGAGAGAGAGAGAGAGAGAGAGAGAGAGAGAGAGAGAGAGAGAGAGAGAGAGAGAGAGAGAGAGAGAGAGAGAGAGAGAGAGAGAGACAGACAGAGACAGAGACAGAGACAGAGACAGAGACAGAGAGATGAGAATTGAGAATGGAATGCATGGGATGTGTGAGTCCACCAGTTAACCAAAGTGGTGGAATATCGGGCGAGAGGCTCCGTTATGGAAATGAATGATGCTCTCAATGCAGGATGGCGGACTGGTCAAAAGAGGTTTCACCACCATTAGTATAACGCCTTTTGGGGCGATTAACGGAGCGAGCGAGAGGGTGTGCCTTGCACGTGCGAAATTGCGAGGGGGTACCTCCAACTGACTTGTGCACGGCACCTTACTAACCGGTCTCTAGCGATGTGCCAAATTTGAGCACAATCGGCCCAGCCGTTCTCGAGATCTGGAAGCGGCACCCTGCACGTGCGCACGTGCAAAATGGGTCCCAACTGACTTGTGCATGGCACCCTACTAACTGCTCCGTAACCGTGTACCAAATTTGAGCGCAATCGGTCCAGCCGTTCTCGAGATCTGGAAACGACCCCTGCACGTGCGCACGTGCAGCAGCACCCCAACTCTGGCACATGGATATGTATTGCCTAGTGGGTGCCTACCTACATGCCAACTCTCAGCGCAATCGGCCCAGTAGTTACCGAGATATTGCAACAATTACAAAAGTGACACCTCTTCGTTTTGCACGTGGCACGTGCATGAGGGGTCACCCACATGCATCGGGAATAGTGCAATACTTGGTAGAAGGAATGAAGCTACCCTACAAAAATTACCGCATGTAAATCGGTCAAGTGGTTGCTGAGATATAAGCCTCGCAAAAGCGTGACCACGGCCGGCCGGCCGGCCGGCCGGCCGCTCATACTCAGAAATTTCCGTTAATCTAAGGAAAGACTACGCTCGCTTCGCTCGCTCCGTAAAAACGTTCCCAATCAAAATTACTCGGACGGTTATAAACGTTTCCCACAGTTATATCATGTAACGAGTGTAAAAAAGTAAAATAATAATAAAAATAACAATCGGAAAAAATGTATGCTGCGAGTGTCGCGACGGTCCGCCAGCCGTCCTGCGGCTCCCCCCGGCGACGAATGGCGCGGCAAGTCTGGAGCATTGACGCTCGGCCGTAAGCCTCGCCGTTCCAGCCGTGCATCCCACCTGCCCCGGACACAACAACGCACAAGAGCTATGGCAGTACGGGCGCGGTTAAGCCCGGTCGCCGACTTCGACGCTCCTGTCGCTCACCCCGCCGACCCGGACCCCGTATCGAAAGAGCTGCGGCAGTACGGGAAGACAGCGGCGCTCGGTCCTGCGCCTCGCCGCACAGTCCGCCGCTCCCTGCGGCGACAAGTGCCGCGGCAAATCGGGAGCGGCGGCACCAGCCAACGCGACACGCGATTCGCCAGCAGCCTGCCTAACTACCCCTGGAGGGTGATGCCCACAGCTTGACGGCAGGCAGGGGCCGCTTTTTGTATGTAGGTACAGTATCGTTCGTTTACATCACTCCTGATCTCCGAGACATGTCACTCTCTTCTTTTAAACGTCACTTTAAAGGGACCCTCCCACCTTAACATTAGTTTTGAGTTGAGATAGCCAAGTTTGCGGCCAGGCTCAGAAACCACCATTTATCCTGGTCGCAACCCCCGCAGCTTTATGGTGTTCAAGAAATTTCTTCCCTTTACTTGCAGGGTGGGACCAGCTTGGTCCCTATCTCTTAACCATTACGGGAATCTGATGACGTCATCAGGCTTTCGAACGTCCGTTAAATGTTTGACTAAAACGTTTTGTAGCACGCGGTGGTATATGCTGCTTTGCGCGCAACAAATGCCGCACTTTCAAATAAAGTCGCTAGGAATAGCGGAGATCCCAAAAAGTAAACAAAAGTAAAAGTCTAATATCTTGAAAACCGGTGAATATTTTTCGATGAAATTTGGTAGATATTCGTTTTTGCTCTTTCTGAACCGAGCGACATCACTTTCATGCAAATTCATTAACTTTTTTGAAGGTGGGAGGGTCCCTTTAAGCCACTTTTAGTTAGGATGGTACCTAGCCTACCTGATTTCAGATGTGCAGTGACTGATATTGTGTGAAAGCCAAGGCCATAGGCTGTGTGATCGGTGTGGAATGAGCTGTCGATTTTTATTATCGGAGCGCGTGCAGCGAGGTGCTTTTAACCCTCGCCCGTATAGGGGGTCGAACGGACCCTCCCCCCCTCGGTTTTTCGCGAATAACTCGCGTAAAAAGCGGACGATCGTGACGAAACTTACAGTACCATCGCGTCAATCAATTTTACACTGACCCTGAAAATTTCATGACGCTGACCATAGGCGGCGGAACGGGGAGGGCACCGTGCCCCCCTTTGATTTTGGCATTTTAACATTAGCCCTATGGGCGTTACATGGAAGGAATGGGACCAAAAGTTGGCAGTGCTCCCCCCTTACTTGAAGATGTTCCGCCGCTTCTGACCCAAATGACCTTTGACCTGTGACCTACTTTTCGAGACCATGTTTGTTTGGCCGAAATCGCGATTCGGCGTATGTCGGCTCGCATTAGCCGCGTGTTTGCAGTCTTTTCGTGGCTTCAAGCGTTCAAACATTTGATATGATGTTGGTCCCATGCCTTACGGTGGGTGTCAAGGTCACCTGAAGGTCAGATCAGGTCACTGACCTTTTATGTTCTTGGTTCACTTTTTCGAGTTTTATATGATCTAGGCTAGTTTTTGGAGCTGAATTCGAATTAAGCAGCCATTTGAACATTTACGAAGTAGTTTTCGCGCCTTCGTAATATGTTACGAAGTTTTCAGAGACGGTTAACACCTACTACGAATATCCGGCAGAACCCCTACTGGTTGACCTGACCTGACCCGACCTGGCCTAAATGCATGAAGACATCTGTGATCAAAATTAACATGATATTCGTGATCAGCACCCCGAAACCCCTATAGAAGTTACACTTTCGACGTTCTAACGGTAGGTCCCGATTTTCCCGACCTTTGGGCCATTGACCTGACCTAGGTCAACCAATGACCTAGAACCTTAAAATTGGGTTTCATCGGCTTACTCTCGTCATGGGCAACACGCTCGTCCTCTTCCGCGAAGCTCTAGCTCGATGAGGGACGAAACGGCAAGGGGTGGGGTCCAGCCCCCCCCCCCCCCTATACCTTCGCGGCTGGCAAAACACCAATACGGGCGACGGTTAGCATGTCTCTCCTTTTAACTTAACGCGACGCTCAGAATAAGCAGTCATTTATCGGAAAGTGTTTTGACTGTCAATGCGTACATACATACATCGTAACTAGTCGACGTCTTATTTATAATGGCAGTGATGCATCGACTTTCATCTCATGCACTGATGTGCCGTATTGATGTTTGACTTGATTACTTGGGTAGATACATGAAATTACTCATTTTTTTGTGCAAACAATGAATAGTTTATGCAACGTCTCAATACGCCTGGCCCGGAGACAGGTCTCACTGGTCAGTTGATTGCATTATGCCTGGCCGCAGCAACTGTTCAGGTGTGACGCGGCTGCAAGCAGTGGTACAAATATGCTTTTGTAAAAGCCAAATGGGCACAGCTTTCTGATTCAATCATTATCATAAAACTGGGTCGAGCCGAATGGTGTATTTCGTAACGCTGGCGTCTACTCACAACACAGCACGGGTAATGTACGGACATCGATTACAATGTGATGAGTACATAAGGCCATCAGTCGCACTCAGTCGCTTGTAGGTATTATCACATACGTGGTGGAATAGGATGAGGAGCGATGTGTGGTTGTGGAGAGCCGGACGGTCGGGGCGGGCGGACAGGCGGCCGTGGCGGCCGGACGGACGTTCGGGGCAGGCGGACGGACAGCTGGGGCGGGCGGCCGGACGTTCGGGGCGGGCGGGGCGGACGGACGGACGGTCCGGGCGGTCGGAGCGGACGGACGGACGGCGGTGGCGGACGGACGGACGGTCGGGGCGGACCGAAGGGCAGCCGGGGCGGGCGGCCGGGCGGTCGGAGCGGACGGACGGACGGCGGTGGCGGACGGACGGACGGTCGGGGCGGGCGGCCGGTCGGTCGGAGCGGACGGACGGACGGCGGTGGCGGACGGACGGACGGTCGGGGCGGGCGGCCGGGCGGTCGGGGCGGGCGGCCGGTCGGTCGGAGCGGACGGACGGACGGCGGTGGCCGACGGACGGACGGTCGGGGCGGGCGGCCGGTCGGTCGGAGCGGACGGACGGACGGCGGTGGCGGACGGACGGACGGTCGGGGCGGGCGGCCGGTCGGTCGGAGCGGACGGACGGACGGCGGTGGCCGACGGACGGACGGTCGGGGCGGGCGGCCGGTCGGTCGGAGCGGACGGACGGACGGCGGTGGCGGACGGACGGACGGTCGGGGCGGGCGGCCGGGCGGTCGGAGCGGACGGACGGACGGCGGTGGCGGACGGACGGACGGCGGTGGCGGACGGACGGACGGTCGGGGCGGACCGAAGGGCAGCCGGGGCGGGCGGCCGGGCGGTCGGAGCGGACGGACGGACGGCGGTGGCCGACGGACGGACGGTCGGGGCGGGCGGGCGGTCGGTCGGAGCGGACGGACGGACGGCGGTGGCGGACGGACGGACGGTCGGGGCGGGCGGCCGGGCGGTCGGACGGACGGCGGTGGCGGACGGACGGACGGTCGGGGCGGACCGAAGGGCAGCCGGGGCGGGCGGCCGGGCGGTCGGAGCGGACGGACGGACGGCGGTGGCGGACGGACGGACGGTCGGGGCGGGAGAACGGACGGTTCGGGAGGACGGACGGACGGCCGGGGCGGGCGGCCGGGCGGTCGGAGCGGACGGACGGACGGCGGTGGCGGACGGACGGACGGTCGGGGCGGACCGAAGGGCAGCCGGGGCGGTCGGACGGACGGTCGGGGCGGGCGAACGGGCGGGCGAGGCGGACGGACGGACTTTCGGGGCGGACGGACGGACGGTCGGGACGGACGGACGGACGATCGGGGCAGGCGGACGGACGGCTAGGGCGGACGGACGGACGGTCGGGACGGGCGGAAGGGCAGCCGGGGCGGTCGGAGCGGGCGGACAAACGGCCAGGGTGGACGGACGGACGGCCGGGGCGGGCAAAAAGATAATCGGTACGCGGTCATCGAAGGCGGCAGGCTCATCGACGGCGACAGGCTCGTCGAAGGCGGCAGGCTCATCGAAGGCGGCAGGCTCGTCGAAGGCGGCAGGCTCGTCGAAGGCGGCAGGCTCATCGACGGCGGCAGGCTCATCGAAGGCGGCAGGCTCATCGACGGCGGCAGGCTCGTCGAAGGCGGCAGGCTCGTCGACGGCAGGCTCGTCGTCTGACTGAGGCATTGCTTGAGCGATGTCCGCCGATCCACTTGCGCTTGCTGCTTGACCACTGTCCGCCTGCCCACGATGGCCGCATCGCGGGCACTTGATGCAGTCTATTACGCTGGCCAGGTTGTTGATGGCAGGTGACTTGACTCCAACAGCTGAAAAAAAAAATGCAATTGTAATACCCAGTTCTGGAGAAGCTCAGCAAGAGAAATGAATAAATTGAAAGGAACAGTGCTTTGAGGAGGCTCACGTGTATTTGGGGTTTAACTCTCGCAGGACCTATTGGTTTTTTACATACGCGCCGGCCGAGGGGGCGGGCGGGTACGACCCCCTCGCCGTTTCGCCCCTAATGGAGCTAGAGCGTCGGAAAAAAAAACAGCGTGTGCGCCGTTACGAGACGTAGCGATTGGTACCCTATTATAAGGTACCAGGTCAACCGGTGACAACTGAGGTCGGGCCAAGTGGCCCAAGATATGGATCCGGTTTTTGGCAAAAAAAAAAATCGCAAACAATGATCGCAGAGCCGCGATTTTGACAGCATCGTGTTCGCCTTGCTCAGGCGCGTCGAATGGTATACTTTTTGTTTGGGTAAAGTCAACTTTAGGTGTTGACCTCGGGTCACGGTCAGGTCAGAGCCCCCCCCCCCCCGGGTCATGAACTTGGTCGAAGGAGGTTAGGACGCATACCATTCGATTTGGCAAGTCTTCCCGAGTCCATTGGTGGCTTTCCCGACTTGTTAGCTCCATTTGATCAGGAGTTATTGACGAAAAACTCTTATGACCCTAGTAAGTAGTAACGTCATAAGGAAGGTCAACAATGCAAAAGTGAAGCATCAAAACTTGCAAGGATTGCATGAAATCACGATTCCGTGTGGTTAAGATAGTTTGAGTTCGTTCCCGGCGCCAAAATAGCAGTTTTCATTTTCCCAAGTGACATGATGGTGAGGTCACGAAAATGACCTGACCTCGTATGACCTTGAGGAAAAATCCGTGATATGAGAGAGAGTAACTTTGACTTTTGAAAGTAAGTAACAAGTAACTTTGACACACTGAACATGAAAATGGTACCCGTGACCCTTGTTTATGCCCCTGAGGTCATCTCAGGTCACGAATGGTATCTGACAGTTTTTCTTCTTGTTTCTTGAGTAACTTTGAGGTGAGATATGGGCGACAAGGTACTAATTTGTGATGTGTGACAGATGTGTTTTTTGTTTATTAGGGTTTACGGGCGCGTCGACTGCGGTGGTCATTTTGCGCCAAAAGGTACTGATTTGAGTAATATGGTTTTAATTTGTGTTTTATCCAAAAATGGCCTTAACTCAGATTTTGTATAAAAACGTCTTACTCTACCTTTAAACAGCTTACATAGCCTATTTCAGTGTTGTACAATGTACATGTCTAGTTGGTGTAAAGGCGCATATAAGACAATTGAAAGCCCGCTCGCGATACTTTTTCAATTGAACATCAACTATCACTAACGTCGCACCATGCGATCACATTTTATCAACGTTACCGTATAAACCCAATATTTTTTTAGCAGCGCTAAAAGCATGGCTAAAAGCGCTAGTATCATGTCTTGATATGCCACCGAATTACAGCACTTAGGACTAGGAGCAGCCAATCATGTGATTTCTTAACCCGCGCCGGGCCGGGGGGAGGGGTGTCTGAACACCCCCCCCCCTTCTAACTCGGCTCCTCGGCCACGTAGCGACACGCGGTAAGCGGCAATCGAAAGAACGTCCAAAATAAGGACGAAAACACTTCAGTCATTTTTTTAGTCAGGTCAAAGGTCAGGTCACCAGAGGTCACCAAAGGTAAAATGTTGACTATTTCAACATTTTGGAAACTGCCAACGGCTATCTCGGGAACCGATAGAGCTACAGCGCCGCGGAAAAGCGCATTCGATAGCCCTTTTACAGACCTTTCTGAGTAATGTCCTCCGATTTGACCTCAGGTCAACGGTTTAGCCTCCAGAGGGCAAAAACTCCAAAAATAGCCGTTTTTACGAAAAACGTTTTTTCGGCAATAACTTTTGACTCAAAAGAGCCATGACATTACTTTTGCCACCATCGTGTTCCTCTCGTCGAGACGCTTCGAATGAACTATAATTTGACCTTGAAAGGTCAACTTGAAAATTTGACCTCAGGTCAAGGTCATGACCTGACCGGAAAAGGTCATATTGCATATCAGTCGATCCGCAACGTCGAGCCGAACACATCTAAGGCGTTTTCAGCGCTCTATCACGTCTCTATCAGAAGTTATTAGCGAAAAACTGCTAGATTCTGTTCGTGACCTGAGATGACCTCGGGGACATCGAGGGGTCACAGTTGCCATTTTCCGGTTCAGTGTGTCAATCTTACCTACATCTCGATGTTTGAGAGTGCCTAGAATAGCGTTCGTGCAAAACAGACGCTTTTCAATTTTCTCCCATTGACTTATAATGGAGAGACCGCAAAATTGACCTGACCTTAGGTCACCGATATCAAAATTCCGAGATAAACATTTTATAGATAATGTTGCTCTTATCAATCGCTGAAAGTTTCAAGGCAATCGATCAATCGGTGTAGCTATGACGAGCATTCTTAATTTTTCTGAGGTGAGGTCACTTGGCGTGACCTGGTGACCTGACCTAAGGTGACCCGGGTCTGAAATTTTCACAACATGTGCGGAAAAGATGCACGAACAGGTGTACCAAAAACGCGCCGCCGTTTTTGAGATATCTGCGAAAAACCGCAGGGCGGGGGGCGGGGTGTTCAAACACCCCCCCCCCCCGGCCCGGCGCGGGTTAAGAAAACTTAGAAAGCATTTGGATTTGGCAGCATTTTGCCTTTCGCGCAAAATACGTCTAGGTCTAAGAGTGTGATGATAGGCATAGGTACATATGGAATGAAATATATAAGTTTGGTGCCATTATGAGCTGGGGCATTCCACGATGGATCGTACCAGGCCCGTCACCCCCATCTCTGAGATTTTAATGAAAATCGGTTCTAGGGTTAATCATAGGCCCCAAAGACGCCTGGCAAAATATTAGACTTCTCAGATCAAAACTTTTTGAGTTATATTGCATAACATTTTTTTAACTTCGGTTTGTAACGGTGAGTTTGATGGCCTATAACTCAAGAACGGGTTAAGCAACCAACAAACAGTAAACAACACTAAGCTTGCGATGAATCAAAAATTAATATTACTATTAAGAAAATTCCAAAGAAAAATTTTCATTGTTGAGCAAAAACCTTAAACTTTTTCATTTGCCTCTAATGACTTTTGGGCCCAAAATTTTTCACATTTTTATTTTTTCAAAATAAACTTCATGTCATTGCAAATCGACATGCAAAAAATTAGAAAGGTGTTTTTTTTTCTATAAGTTCCTCATTTTCCCGCAAACAAAATGGGTTTCGGAGGGGTTGATACGACCTCAGCACGCCGTTTCGCTTTTAATAGAGCTAGAGCCTCGGGGAAAAACGAGCGTGTGTGCCGTTACAAGTCGCAGCGATTGGTATCCGATTTTAAGGTCCCAGGTTAGCCGGTAGCGTCTGAGGTCAGGTCAAGTGACTGAAGTTACGGGTTCGGTTTTTAGTAAATAACTTCGCAAAAAATGGCCGCAGAGCCGCGATTTTGGCATCATTGTGTTCGCCTAGCTCAGGTGCATCGAATGTTATACTTTTTGCTAGGGTGAGGTAAACTTAAGTAGTTGACCTCGGGTCAAGGTCAGGTCAGAGCCTTGTTTGTTTGTTTGTTAATTGGGGCTTTAGGGCGCGCCGACTACTTAGGTCATTTTGCGCCCATCAGGTCAGAGCCCCCCCTCAGGTTACGAAGCTGGGCAAAGGGTATCATATGGCATATCATTCGATTCGGAAGGTCTTCCCGAGTCCATTGGTGGCTTTCCCGACTCTCTAGCTCCATTTGATCGGGAGTTATTGACGAAAAACTCGTACGACCCTAGTGACGTCATAAATGACGTCACGCAAGGTTAACAATGCAAAAGTGAAGCATTGGACTTTGCAAGGAGTGCATGAAAACACGATATTATGTACATGAGATAGTTTTAGATCATTCTCGGCGCCAAAATAACAGTTTTTTATAGTTTCCCCATTGACTTAACAGTGATGTCACGTGACCGACTTGACCTCATGTAACCTTAAAAAATTCCCAGATATACAAGTTGTGAAACCTCTGGAGGACACCATGTATGCGTCCTGTAACTTTCATCTCGGACAGCTATGGTCATTGGCGTCCAAAACAATATCAGAACCAAACAGCCTTTTTCACCCTCGCGCTTGTAGGAAAGAGGGTTGGATAAACCCTCTTTTCACTTTTTCAGATGACTCAGACTTCAATTGAAATTTCAGTAACCCGTGATGTCACTAGGCAGCTTTACCACGCTATTTGTAAGCTCCCCTCCCGAAATCACTATTCGAAACCGTTACCGTGACGTAAAATAAATACATTTATAGAAAGAACACCTTCCTAATTTTTTGCATACTTCTTAACAATGAGCCAAATATTTTTTTAAAGAAATAAGAATTCAAAAAAAAAAAAAATTGGTCCCAAAGTCCAAAAAATACAAATGAAAGAAAACTTGATACGTCATATATAAAAAATAGTGTATTTTTTTGAAATTTCAAAAATCCATATTAATCTCTGTTTCATTGCAAGCTCAATATTATATAACATTTGGCATTGGAATAATCCGTCTTTGAGTTACAGCCCGCCAAACTTAGCGCTGCAAAGCAAGATCCAAAAAATGTTATACACCATAACTCAAAAAATATTTATCTGATAAGCCTGAAATTGTTACAGGTGGATTCAGAGCCCCTGATTACCCCTAAGACCAATTCTCGTCAAATTCCGAGAGATGAGGGTGTCACTTTGGAAAAAAGTGGTACGATCTATCGTGGAATGCCCCAGCTTGCACCGATTAAAAAACAAATGTTAAAAAATAATTGCTTTATCATTCCATTTCTTTACAAGACACGGCAGCATAGAATAAACAATGTTACGCTTACATTCCTCAAT